CCATCTGGGACAGGTGGACAATTTATGGGAAAGAGGATTTTACTCTCTTGGACTTCATAAATGCTGTCAGAGTAAGTTATCTACTGTCCTGGGTTAATACAAGACAAGAGGAAAGGAGTTTCTTGTTTTGGATTGTTGGATTGTGTTTTGTTTTCTTTTTTATTTCCATCAAGCTACTGTTCAAACCATAATAGTTTTAGTAATAACTAATCTCAATGGGAATGTCTCTAAATAAAGGCATCCAAGCCTGTTTTCAAATTCCTTGTTAATTCAGTTGGCTCAAATGTATCTTAATAAAACTTTGTCAGCATCCACATGCATTAGCAGATTTTCTGGTATGGATCCTATGGATTTGAATAATTAGCTGTTGTATTAGCAGCAGTAGTATCTGCTGGTTTGGGCAGCTGTTCTGGTCTTTTAACAAGTTTTAATTTGTGAATTCCAGGAGAAATATGGAATTGAACCAACTATGGTTGTACAAGGAGTCAAAATGCTCTATGTTCCTGTGATGCCAGGCCATATTAAAAGATTAAAGCTGACGTAAGTATAACTGAAAAATGGATTTAGGGATGCAAGTGCACATACAAATTATGTTCATTGCTTGTATCAAAAGGACATGTGTCTGACAGCAGTATTTTCTCTCAGTGTAGTTTCTAGCCATTAATACTTTGGGAAGCAAAAAGATAATTTCTTTCTTTTTGTAAAAAAAAAAAAAAGAAAAAAGAGAAAGTGAATTTACTTCCGTGATGAGGAAAGGAGACTTGCAAAATGCTGCTTTAACTGTTGAATACTAGAAAGAAAAAGATAAAGAAGTCTGACAGTAATTTTTGAGGGGAAAGAATGTTCTATGTTTCAAGCAGAACGAGACTACTAGAACCTTTTGAAACTGGCTTAAAACTAATGCTGATACGTAGCAACTTAGCTCTGAAGGAATAATGTGTTGTTTGCAGTTTAAGATTTCTGGAGGTCTGTTCAATTATAGTAATTGCTTGAGATTCTACATCACTTTAGCCTTTCTAAAAATGATGACATTCACAAAGGCTTTGCAGTGCTGCTTACAGACAGGAAATTGAGGTATTTCATCCTGGCAGTTTGTCAGGATGTGAAGGTAGGGCATTGGGTTTTGACTGCAGGCCTTTGCAAAATAACATCCAGATCTCACCCAGGTTTAGTTCTGCCTTACACCTGTGAGCTACTTTAGCTCAAAATCTGTTCCTTACAGCTCCTGTGAAGTGTGTGCTAGTCAGTGCTCATAGGCTTTGCTGAAGCAAGTGAATGCACTGATCAGTACTGTTTTGAAGGCTTGCCAGTAGGTATCAGGCAAAGAACTATCAGCAAACTACTTCAAACTGGTGGGGAGAGAAGAGCCACTAAGCTGTAGAATGCATATCATACTAAGATGAGAATTTACAGCCTGTCTCCAAAAACATTGCTTATATGCTTTCTTGTACAGCTGTATAAATAATTTTGAAAGAGTGGGGTATGTAATGAAGTCAAAGTCATGGTGTGAAGCTGCCTTCTTGTGAATATCAGGATTTTTATTAGTCTGAGACTTTAATGGCTGTATCTATCAGGAAAATGGAATACGATTTGCTGAAGCTCAGGTGGAGGAACAGCTTATGTGCAATTTAGAGGTTATTCTCCATTTTAATTTGGTCTGTAGTATGCTGGACCAGTACATATTGCTGGCAGTGAAGTTCATCCTAGTCTGGGCCTGAGTTCCCACTGCCAATCCTCCTGGTGCATTTATGAACTGTTCTTCATTTCTTTGTAGGATGCAAAAGCTTGTGAAACCATCAGCTGATAAGAAGTATGTGGATTTGACAGTATCATTTGCTCCAGAGACTGATGGAGAGGAAGACTTGCCAGGGCCACCAGTGAGATACTACTTTGTTCAGGAAGACAATTGATGGTAGAGACACAAAAGTCACTCATGGACCATTTGTTCTGAAAGGAATGTGCTAATTTTCAGCTATTAAAGATGGTACTATGTATTTCTTTTTGGTGAAGCCTTAATTAAATGGTGAAAATCAGTGGCTTTGCACTGAAGACAAACTGGATCTGTTTCTTCTGCTCCTGTGTTCTTCAAGCCTGTTTACTCAAAGGACGATTGGTCACTCCATGAGATGGAACGTCCAGTACAGTCCTTACCTTAAAGGCAAGATGTGTATTGAGGAAAGCAAGAAGAATGGTGAACCTAAGAAATTGTCCCTGTGTGCAAATTAGGCAATTTGCATTTGCTTAGGGAAGAGTGCAAAAAATAGGAAAAGCACCGTTTTATGATACTCTTGGTGTTCTAAGAACATCTCAAATTAATTTCATATGCTACTTCATTCTCAAACAAGAATTTCATTCTTGCCATCTACATGTGAGATTTTGTCCATCTTAAAGGCTTAAACTCCCACTTAAAAGCAGAGGAACTGCTTTCTTGTGTGGCTGGTTAGTGGTGCCGTGGTCAGCGCAGCTATCTTGTGTCAGTGTCAACACGGAAACATAGGGAGGAGGTGATTGTAAAATCAAACTCCTCTGAAGTCCAGAGAGCTGGAATTGTTGATTATCTGCACTAAGACTGTTCTTTGTGGAATACTGCAGTATGACGAAAGTGAAAACTTATCGGAGAACCGAATTAGCACTTTCAAAAATAAAACTTGGTCTTCAACAAAGAGAAAATGTGGTTGAGCCTTTCTACCCTCACCAAATTAAAATCAGTGTAGCACTTGGTGACATTAAAGGGAGGAAAAGACAAACACCTCTGGATGTTTGTCATAGCAAACTCAGCTGTTCCTTTTGGTACCATTTCCCTAATTATTGTGCTGTACACCTGTCCTCAGAACAAGTCGGAACTGCACTGAACAGCGAGATTTTTGCCCTTATTGGCCAGTTATAGGAATATCTAATTATAACATTTCTGCTTAGTTGGAAATCATTATGGACTAGTTTTGCTGTTGTGCTGAGGCAGAGGTGTGTTACAGAAACATCATAATTTAACTAATTTAAACACTGGATACTTGAGGTAGTAGTTCTTTTTTTCTCATCATAGTAAAGCAAGGCAAGGTTAGAATAAAAACTGAAATACTGAAATACCTTCTCATGTGTTTCAGCTTTAGAGATTGTTTTTGAACATTATGTCCTGTAGCTGTTGCAACTGTTAACAACTTAGCTGTTTATCCTCAATTATAATTTATTAAGCTTTAGGGATGTCTTCACATTTAATTTAATGATGTCACAATTAGTGCTAAGGATCACTTAAAGGTTTAGGTCAAATTGAAAACATTGTCACCTCTCACAGTTGGAGGCTGGGAAACAAAACTGAGTAAGTATACTCTGTTGTGTTAGTGTGGTGTTAATGTCATATTTGTGCTTTTGAAGTAAGCAGCATTTAAAAACAGTGAAATCTCAGTACTATTCTAGAATGCCATGACTATCTTCAGGGTTTAAAGTAAACTGTCAGATATAATTCATGCAATGGCTTTTACTAATGACAATATGTGCACCTTTGAGAACCTTGTAAAAAGCCCAGGTCAAGGCTGGCAAGGATCACAGCCAGAATTTACAGAAATGGCTGTATCTTTATGCTGCTATTATTGTGTGTGTCTGTTGGATGGATGAATGCTCTGTGGATGGGTTCTGCTCAGTTAAAAAGTTGGTTATGGAAAAACTAAAAATGCACATTGGCTCTATTTTTATTAGCACACCTTTTAAATTTTTTGGATATAAATTAATCTAGGAAATCTCACAACTAGTAACTTCAAGAGAACTTTCTGTAGAAGTTGGGATGTCAAGTGGCTTGTTAAAACTGTTCTTCATGCTTTAAATGTTTTTGAATTGCTGATATGGAGAGTGAAGGTGTTTATATGAAAGATTGTGGAGTGCACTGATTCAGTGTGAATTTGTGTTTGATAGAGCCTGTTTCTCAATCTGTTCTTGCTTTTTATCAAAAGTCTCTGCAGGTGCTCAGCATGATCACTGTCAAACGGGGCAAGTGAATTTTGGGGTGCTGATCTTTCAAATCTCCAATGTTGTCACAGTGCTACCATTCTAGAGGCTTGTGTTTGTCTAGGACTGTTTAATGCACAACTCCTCTGAAGAAGCTAAAGCTTGCTGTCTTCCTGCAGCAATGAAGGACTGTCTTTCCACTAGAGCACTTCAAATAGCTTTCTTTCAGAATGTTATTCTTTGAGAGAGAAGTTGATTTGCAGGAATGAAGTTTTATATTAGTCATGAAGATACTTCTCACTCAAATGCTTTCTTGAAGAGTTTGCTCATATTTACACCAGATCTCTGAATTTTTGTAGTTCTTAATAGATGGAGTTAATTAATTTGTGCATGCAAAGCATTAAGCAGCCGGATCAACTTTTTTTCTGGTTAGTCAACATGTTTCTTTAATGTTAGGAGTAGAGAGGATTCTGTGTGAGGGTCTCAATACTGCTAGCAAGGCTGCTTTGATGAATCAGATGGATTTAAGCTTTTATTATCTATACGACAAAAAGTAGATGCTTCCATATTATTTTCCCACCCTTTTCCTATGTATGATGAAATATGTGACTGCTTATTAAAAAGATAAAGCTATTCAAGAATAGTGGTATATAGGAAGAACAACTCTGGCACCAGTTGAGCTGTCACTTCTTCATGGCTTGTCACACCCTGAAGTAATATGGACTAGAGCTAGGCAGAGAGCTCATGCGTCTGTCAGACTTGTCATCAAATACTAGATTTTAGGTTAGTTCATGATCTTCAGGTTCATAATTTTTCCTGGTGTTTGAAACAATGTGGAGGTACGCCAGTTGCCTTAAGAAGGAAGCTGAATTTCAGACAAAAGCTGAAATTAACTTGAAAGTGTGTCAATCCCTGTGCAATTACAGAAAGCAAATATGCACCACAGTGCAGCAGTCTAAACCTTTGTGCGCAAAGGTTGATAAATTTGACCAGGGACCTTTTGAATATTTATTTTAGTAAAGGTACATTGTGTGGTTGATGAAGTAGCTGGTGCAGCTGCTTACCCTTATTGAGACTCGAGCTTAAAGGTGCCGTAAGTTCCAGCGTGGCTAGCAGCAGAACGGTGTTGCTGAAGTATATCCTTTTGTATGGCACAGGTGAGAGACAGGGAAGACGTGTTACCACTTCCCCCAGCAGTATACAAGTTTCAATTTCATAGGGGAAAAGCTGCAACTCTGATCTGATACATACTGAGCTGCCACCCTCTTCACAAAGTGATCTGTACTATTTTCAGGGAGAGAAAGTGTGAACCTCTCACGTTATGACGTATTTTTAAAATATAATGAGCCTTCCCTTTAGTGGTCAGAAAGAATAGGAAGAAGGTCTTCCGGGCACAAGTGTGTGATAAAAAGCATCACTTAAAACTGTATTTTGTGGCAGTGTTTTGCCGGTACTGTAAGGTACCTCGGCCTGAAGTTCTCAAGCTGTTGTGTTTTGCTCGTTGTTGAGTTCTTCAGTAGAATTTTAAGGAAAAATTTGCAACGCCCCGTGGTGAACAAGGGATGTTTCATAACGTTTGGAACCCGCGTATTTGAACTAGCGTACGAAAAGCGTACCCCGCCCGTCCCCTCAGAGAAAGGCGGGCGGGACGGGGACGGGGGCGGTCACTGCTTCTACGCAGGCGCAATAGCCGCGCGCGCCTAAATATCTGCCCTGCCTGGCGCGCGCCGGCCGCCGACCAATGGGACAGGGCCGGGGGGGCGTGGCCGGGCCGCTGCCACTGGCCAGCCGTGCGCGCGCGCCCGCCGGGAAAGGAGCGCGAGGTTTTGAAG